AGTTTTATATCTTGCAGCATTTGCCAGGTTTTACCTTATTTTTTTATGATTTTTTTTTTGAGTACTAGCTTTAAATTTCAGCAGATGATGAATTTTATGTTATGATTTGGTTTTATAAATTCATTTTTGGATCCCTTTAATCTCTTCTCAGATTCTTGAATACAGTGTGTGTTAATATTGTTGGCTGACTTTTTTGAATGTCTGGGTATTTCTCATGAGTGTCTGAATGAATCTAAAATTTAGATTGTAAATTCAGGTCCATAATATGAAAAGAAAGGTAGAGTTTATTGACCTGTTAATTTTGCCTGTTCCAAAAATATTTTCTCTTAGGTACATTTTAACATTGCCTTTAATTCATAATTAATGTATTTATTTTAGATTAGAGAGTAGAAATCTCTTTCAAATACAAGTAAACATCTTTTTCTAAACATATTTAAGATTTTACAGAACAGTCACCAACTCAGTCTGATATTTCCAGAATGAAAATCCTACTGTTAAATTAGTCCTCATGTGGCAGCTATTTGACTTTTTAATTATTTTTCTTCTAAAATATTTCTAAAACCATAACTTTTCATAAGTTTCTGGCACCAGTCTGTTCAGTCACTCAGTCGTGTCCGACTCTCTACGACCCCATGAATCGCAGCACGCCAGGCCTCCCTGTCCATCACCAACTCCCAGAGCTCACCCAAACCCATGTCCATCGAGTCTGTGATGCCATCCAGCCATCTCTTCCTCTGTCGTCCCCTTCTCCTTCTGCCTGCAACCCTCCAACATCAGGGTCTTTTCCAATGAGTCAACTTTTCGCATGAGGTGGCCAAAGTATTGGAGTTTCAGCTTCAGCATCAATTTTTCCAATGAACACCCAGGACTGATCTCCTTTAGGATGGACTGGTTGGATCTCCTTGCAATCCAAGGGACTCTCAAGAGTCTTCTCCAGCACCACAGTTCAAAAGCATCAATTNGGTTCTGCTGGGTCTTTGCTGCTGCACAGGCCTTTCTCTGGCTGTGGTGATCAGCGGCTCCTCTCCAGGTGGGGTGCCTGGGGTTCTCACTGCAGTGGGCTCTCTTTGTCAGACAGCAGGCTCTAGAGCGTGCAGACTGCAGTTGCCGCTTGTGGCCCCAGTAGTCACGGCCCCCAGGCTCTAGAAAATAGACTCCTTCGTTGTGGCCCCCAGACTTAGTTGCTCCATGACATGTGGGATCTTCCCTGACCAGGGATCAAACCCGTGTCTCCTGCCTTGGCAGGCAGATTCTTTACCACTGAGACCCCAGGGAAGCCCCAGTGTTTAATCTCTTTGATACATTTTGGATAGTCACTAATTCTACAACTTCAAATTCACAAATCTGCTCTAGAGTCTTTCAAGGTGCCACGTCTATCAAGTATGGTTTTTGATTTTGGATATTATAGGTTTCATCTTTAGATGTTCCACTCGATTATTTTTATATCTTTAACTTCTTTCCTGATTATCGGTCATGTTTTCTGATCTTTGGATATGTAGGAGGTTTGAATTAGATTCTAAAGATTTCGTATTTTACTCTTTAGTGGCTGGGTTCTAGTTTTCAAAAAGGAGTATTATGCTTTGTTCTCATAGATAGTTGCTTTTGGTTTAGTCTGATCGTCTTGAGAGCTGTTTTCAAATTTTGTTGGGGTGGTGCTGAGTCCTTTTTACGCAGGAATTGTTTATCCCCATGACTAAGTCCTGACCCTTCGGATGTCTGAATTTAATGCTTCAAGATGCCTATTTGGACTTTCCACTGCTGCTGGTAGGAGATGAATGATTCGCAGCCTTTTGTGGGCCTGGCAGGCATTCAGCTCACAGCTTTCCAATAACTGTTTAACCTGTCTCATAGAAATTCACCCCCTGCAAGCATATCCTGGGAATCAGCATAGATTCAAGGGATCTGTAAGACAGTGTGCGGGATTGCTTCTCTCTAGCTCTCTTCTCTAGAAATCTCCCTCACAGTTTCCTGCCTTAAACCCTGATCTATCACTTAAATTCCGTGAGGTGGCTGTCTCTGCTTTCAGTGATATACACGCATGCCCTCACACACACACACACACTCACACATACACACACACATGCTCACACACTCACAAATACACACACACACAAACTCATACACACTCACACACACACATACACACTCACACACACATACACTCACACACACGCACGCACACACACATACGCACACACACAGACCAACTTTATGACATGAAATTCACTTTCCAGATGAAAAACTAAGGCTATCCTAGAACTTCCTGTATTTTCTGTTTGTTGTGCTCAGATACCATAGTTTGACACTGCCTGTGGCTTTATGTCAGGAAAAAATCATTTGTTTCATGTACATTAGCCTTATTTTCTAATTGTTTGAGTCAGAGAGTCACTTTAATCCTTGTTGGATTAAATCCATCATGGCTGAAAGTGGAAGTCTTTCTTCAATTGATGAAGACTCATGTAACAGAGAATAACAAGCTAAGTATTACATTATGTTAAGAGTTAATTTTGCAGAGAATATTGATAGTGTACAACACAATGACAAAAATCTGTCATTAAAATCTGATAGACACTGGCAAGTCAGTCTTCTTGTGAGAGGTTAAATACATACAGATTTAAGGTGATCAAAAGTCATTAAAGGGAATTATGCAAATGGCAGTTTGGACTTATAGTTATGAGAGACATCTGCATAAAATATAAGGATGGTCTCAGAGAGAGCATGTTGACACAGTGAGAATTCAGAGTGCAACTGTGCCCCCATTTTAAGTTTGACCCAGGCTTACTGTCAAAGACAGACCACTGGGATCTGTAAGCCATGTTTACAACTTAATTTAACAATTCTTCTGCTTGCATTTTGACCAATTTATTCCTGTCCAAGAAAGAAAACATCAGTTATAAGAACCATTCATTCTTGAAAGTAATTTTATGGTATTTCTAAAAATATACATCATATAAGAGCAAAAAGTAATAATATTACTTATATGTATTGCATTACTGATGTTGATTTACAGTTGTAAGAAAAATGATCCTTAATATATTCTGGAGCCACAAACTGGATATTTAGTTTATTTTTTCTCCTCAGTGTGTTTAAAATATACTAAATTATATGAAGAAGCTGAATGTTTTGAATATATGTGTACACCGTAATTAGTTTTTGTTTGAATTGATTCTCAGCATTAGCTTGAGGCATGGGCTTCCTGGTGGCTCAGCTGGTAAAGAACCCACCTGCATTAGACACAGGAGACACGGTTTGATGCCTGATATGGGTAGATCCCCTGGAGAAGGAAGTGGCGACCCACTCCAGAATTCTTACCTGAAAAATTCCACGGACAGAGCAGGCTGGCAGGCTGCAGTCCACGGGCCACAGAAGAGCCGGACGCGACTGAGCAGGCACACTCACTCACTCACTCGAGCAACAGCTCCAGCTGCAAAACTAAGAAAATAAGACTATCAGCTTTCCTTTCCTTCAGTCCTAGCCTTAAATAACTCTTAAAGGAAGCTCTTAAATGTAGCTAAGGTAAAACAAGGTAACAATATAGTCCCTGTTTTTACTGATGCCATACTTTTAATTTTTATGTGAATTACTGTTAATGAAGTCAACCTTCTTTATAAGCAGACATATATAGTGTGTCCAATATTTAATAAAATGTTAGTAATCTAAGAATTCATAATTAATAAACTAATTTGAAACATTTTATGATAAATGGTTGCTCTTGATTTTAGAATTAGCTAGTTTAAACAGGTAGTGAGTAAATTTTCAAGTATATCCAGTTTACATGCCTTTAAAATTTCCACATCTTTAGTGCTCAATTTAGAAATGCCATTTTAAATTATTTTTTAAAATAAAATGCACTTGTTAATTATTTTATAGCTGTAAGATTTTAAAAGAAATTATTTGTACAGAAATATAATGTTGATAAAATTTATCAGTTAGCTAGTATTCCACAATGATCATCAATATTAGAGATTATATCTTTGCTGAAATTTTATTTTCACCATACTAGTTCCTTTAAATTGTTTGGCATTTTAGAAGATAAGATCTGTCCAAAAAAAAAAAAATCATGCTTAATAATATTGTTGGATGAATGGACGAATTTTTAAAAGCCTAAAAAATAAATTGTAAGTGCTGGAGTACTTGGAAATAAAAGTTTCATTAAGTTTAATTAAGCACAATTAAACACTCTGCCAAGCTCAGAAAGCAGTTTTTAGAAATACTAGCAGTCCTTAGGCAACATATGAGCTGACAGTTAAATGAATTAAAAATGAGGTTGAGAATGGATGTTTCCACACAGATACCCAGTCTACCCTATTTCTTGATCGTTGATGAAAACTAGCTATACATGCTGTTTCTCTTTAAATGACTTTTGATGTTGGTTCTGTTAAAGAGAATATACAGAATTAATTCTGGTTAAATAATTTACTTTCAAAATTATGTTTTTTATGTTAAATTTCCTAATTAAATTTTTTATTTTAATATTTTTTTTCTGTTCTACAGTATTTATTGAAATGAATTGTTAGTTTCCGATAGAAGGATTTTGGTAATGAAACAGCCAATATGTCTACCTATTATAGAAAATGTAGAAATAAAAATGCAGGATTTCAACAATAAATTACAGTACCATATTCCATCATCGGACCATAGTCATATTGGATTTTCTTTTTCAGTAATAGAAAACGTGGCTTGTTCCTTAAACTTGCTTCTGAAATACTTCTAGACATAAAAATAAAAACCACTATAAGATGTTTAATCACTGTGTAAGCCTGAATTTTAGATAAATTAATCAGGAATGTATTTGTAACTATATTCTAAATAATTACAATTATTTTTCTACTTCATTTTGCAATGCAACTTTCATCTTTTATATTACTAAATTTTCTTCTCAATAAAATTAATGGTGCTTGGGGATTTGAGGTTACCTGGTAAACGACTGAAAAATTGCTAAAAGCCAGAGGTATCCATTCCATCTAATTATTTTCCTTTTGATCTTTTTTTTGTTTAAGGATTGAAACAAGCTGAGCCAACCATGACCGGCAAAACACAGACCAGCAACGTCACCAATAAGAACGACCCGAAGTCCATCAACTCTCGCGTCTTCATCGGCAACCTGAACACAGCCATCGTCAAGAAAGTTGACATCGAAGCAATCTTCTCGAAGTATGGGAAAATAGTCGGCTGCTCCGTTCACAAAGGCTATGCGTTTGTCCAGTACATGAGTGAGCGTCACGCACGAGCGGCGGTGGCTGGAGAGAACGCCAGGATCATCGCAGGCCAACCGCTTGGTAAGTCCTGCTCGACTGCGGCTTCACGTTAGCGTCCGTCCCTCCAAGCGCGCCTGGACACAGCACGGGCATTTACAGCCAGCACGACCGTGCCGTTTGCTTCTTAACCAGCGATAGTGATCTTACGTTCATAACTGATACCGTTTTCTTGTTCTCATTAAATATAAGTGTCTTATATTCTCTACAAGTTACAAGCTTGAGATCAAGGCTGATTTGCAATACTTAGTATCGCCACCAGTCTTAACAGGCAAATGAAAAATATGCATCAACATTTAACTGTGTTTGACTTGATCAGTGTCTCATCTTCCAGGAAATACTATGTGAAGCAAAAGAATCATAATCATTACTTTTTATACTTATAGTACTTATTCTGAGAGGCTAATGTATGTACCTCACTTATTGTTTTTATTTGGGGAGAAGAAGGGATATAAAATAGCAAAAAGAAGTAAATTTTGAGAACTGGATAAGAACTATAAAGTACTCTTTCTTCTCTTGTCCTTCATGCCTGTTCAGTCATGTGCAATAATCAGATTTGTGTCTCATATCCAGGAAATAATATAGCTTTTTTTTTTCAAAGAAAGGAGCATATAGACTGAAGTAAAAAGAAAATTCTTAGGAGAAAATATTTTGTAGCAAGTATGTAGATAAAAATAAAATATTAGACAATCCTTTTTCTACTTAAGGAAAAAGTAGAATTAATACCTCAGTGATTCTCTAATTTATATCTCTTATCATGTTCAGGTTCTTATATTTAACTGATTATACATTGTCTTCTTTTGAATATGCAACAGGCGTCTTAGCTTCATATGCCTAGAGCACAGAACAGTACTCCTGATTTTTCACATCACAACTTCCTCCACCCTCACACTTCTCATGGTAATAAGCAGAACTTTCATTTTTCCAGTTTTCAAATAAAATCCTGAGTGTCAGCCTTGATTCTTCTCTTCCCCTCACACTCCGAATATAATCCATCATCATGTTTCTCACCATTAGTATATCCCAAACCCAACCGACTTTTACATCTATACCAATAGCCATCTTATACAGGCCACCATTATCTCAGGGGAGCTCCTGAAATAACCCCTTTATTGGTCTGTCTCTTTCTACTCCTGCCAAAATACCCCTTTAAAAACATAAGTGAGATTATGCCTTTGATTTTCTCTTACATCTGTAATACATTTGCATTGCTCCCAGAATAAAGTTTATATTCTGTGCTGTGGCTATGATGCTACCACCTTTTCATTCCTTCTCTCTGCCTTCTTGTCCCACTTCAGGGTCGCTGGCTGTCTTGATATATATACCTCAGGCATTCTAAAACTGTTCCCACCTCAGAGGCTTTGGATTTACTATTCCCTCTGCTTAGAAGATTTCTTAGGTCTATGCTAATTATTTTTTTCCCTACTGTATTGTATGCTGTTATCATATTCTACTTTTTCTGAAAGGATTTTCTGACCAACTTATCTAAAATAAAATAGTCTTCCACCTTCTTGCCTACATTGTCTACTGGATTATTATATTTTTTATTTTTTTCATGGCCCTCATGTATCTGGAATTACATTTTTTTGTATTTTGTGGCCATGCCGTGAGGCTTGCATGATCTCAGTACTCCTGCCTGGGACTGGAAACAGGCTAAGAAGTGAAAGCTCAGAATCCTAAAACCACTAGGCCACCAGGGAACTCCCTGCAATTACATATTTTAATTTATGATGTTACTTCTGTCAGTTCCACAGATGTAAAGATGAAAGTGTATATAAAAGAAATGATAAAAATTCATAGACAAATCAAGCTAAGAGTGTTAATGTTGCATTAAAGTTATATAATGTAATTATCAAAAATTTGGGAGAAGATATGGAATTCAATACAGTGAGAGTGAAGTCTGAGGTAACGGTCTTGAGAAAAAAAAAAGGAAGTTTTATGTAAATGCTTGCAGTAAAACCAAGGAATATCACTTACATATAGGAATAGAGTTTTATTTATAGTTCTCCAATTAGCTTTTCTATATTTTAAAGAAAAATGAAAATATATTGGTGAGTTTCATCTTTGTCCTTATGTGTGTGACTTGATTCTGCCCCTTTGCCTTGATATTGGAATTGTTTTACCAATTTTGCTTTACTTTCTAAATTGAAATGTCTACTTCAGGGCCACATCTGAGCCAAGTATCAGAGAAGTAACCATTTATTACCTGTATCCTGATTATTCTAAGACTAGTACATATTTGTAGAAATGCATTTACTTACTAATTTTAAAAAATTAATTATCAATATGAAGTCAGTTAAAAGTCAGATCATGTGTTAATGAACTATAGCTAATTTTCCAGCATCCCTTTTCCTTTGTTGGGGAGGGGAACATTTCCCCCTCTACCCATCTTGAGTTCTTGTGAGTGGTCTAATAATAAAACCAACACAGCTCAGATTAACAGCGGAAAAAAACAAATTGTAATTCAGTCACATGGAGGTCTCACAGAATTGCCTGAGAAATGACCAAAGCAGGCAGCTTTTATACTTTTTAGACAAAAATAAATAAATAAATAAAACAATAAATTTGAAAAGAATTGATGGGACAAAGAAACAGGCTTTGGGACTTAATTAGTAAGGAATTTAAACAAAGTTTGAGCTTGGGTAGTACATTAGTAAAGAAGCTAGAAGAGTTGCTTTCACACAGGTTTTGCTGCCTTAATTCCCTATCTCTGAAAATGAGGCTGTCTTTCTTCCCCCAATGTGAAAGGGAGGGCACCTTTCACGTGAGAGAGATTTATTTCCTGACTTTAGAGAGACAGAGAAGAGATTCAGCATCCCTCTTGCATCAACTGTTTAAGTCACTTTATTTCAAATTAATCCATATGCCAGTGAGGCATACTTTGGGGCCACCTACCCTTGATCCAAACACCCATCACCGCTCCCTTATCAGAGAAAAATGCAGTGGGGAAGAGGCAATAGCCACACTAAAAATTTAGCATCTTACTTAGAAAAACCCAAGGGGAAAAAATGATGACGCCAAATCACTGTGCTTTGAGAGCCACAGAATTAAACCATGCTTCTGATAAGATGGCACTTTTTCCTTTTCAGTCATTCTGGAATCCTATCTCAGATGTGTCCTCCATTTAATCTCTGGGGCACATAATTTAATCAGTCATAATCACCCTTTCTGCCTTAATCCACGTCAAAGACTTTATTCTTTTACTACAGTTGAATTCTAGTCTCTCATTCCTTGTGTCTGATCAGAATGCCTTTTCATACAAAGTAGGTGTTTTATAGCTTCATAACTTTGCTTTTCAATATACCTACCTTTATTTCAATATACCTACCTTGTCTTAAACCATATTGCTAGAGACTCAGGCAAAAGCTTGTCTTCCAGATGTTGTTCCTTACAGGAAGCTGGTTCCTGAAGAAAATACTTAGTTTTCCAGGAGGTATACCCACTTCTGGCTTTATATATTTTGTTTTTGGTGACAGGGGGATACTTAGGTGTAGGTAAAATCACTTGCTTCTTGAAATTTTAGACTCTCAATGAGATTGTTTATGGTTTGGAGCTCCTACTAAACCTTACAAGCTCTTAATTTGAAGTGAATTGATTATGGATCAAATACTATAAAATTGATATTAAAAAATAAAAAACTGATATAAAATGAAATTGATATTAACTTCATGTACCACAACCTGTATAAACATTTTTCTTTTTCTTTAGAGTGGGAAGAAAATTAATATTAAGCCATGCACTGGGCTAGTACTTTATCTATATTATCTTATCTCAGTGCATATTCAAGTAACTTCTGAATAGAAACAATCTTCATATCACAATGTGTTTAAATTTTTTATAATATAATTTAGAAATTAAACTTCAATAGTATCAGAAAAAAAATTAAACATCTTAATGTAAGTTCTCATAGTTCTATGGAATTATAGATATATCCTTAAACTGAGAATTGGTTATGCATGTGATGAAACCTAGCTTTTATCAAGTGGAAAATATTAATAGCCATTTTGTGTCTGCAAGTAAGGAGACACTGAAGTGTTTTAAGTTGTTGAAAATGTTTTATTGAAAAAATAATCCATTAGCAGTTTGATGGATGAATTAGCATGATATAAAACCAGAAACAAGGACATGTGTTGGGAGACTACTGAAAGAGTCCAGGTTTCAAATTATGGAAATGAAGAGGGAAAAATTAGGAAAATGATGTAGAATCAATAAGACTTAATGACTAGTTCTCAAAACGGGTGAGCTAGAAAGAGAGAAGAATCAAGACTGATTCCCATATTTCTGGTTGAGTTCTCTGTTGAATTGCCTTGTGGGTCATGAGGATGGTGGAGAATGATTTCCAAAGGGAAGAAAGATTTTTGCATAGGACAGTGAGTTCAGGATTGAATAGATGTATTGAGATTGACGTACATGCTTCAGGGTATCCAGGTACATGTATCTAGTAGAATCTTGCAAGTTCAAACTAAGAGGAGAGATTTAGACTAAAAGTAAAAAACGTGCGTCATCAACGCAGTGTTAACACTGTGGAGATGGATAAGCTCACCCTGGGAAAGTGCATAGCATGAAGAGTATTGGCTGAAGATGGATCTGTGCAGAGATCTTTGAGTCCAAATAACTAGAAGAGTCTTTCCAATGAGCCTTCTGGAAATCTCCATCTGAACTGGTTTTGCACAGCTCTTTGCTCTCCCAGTTCTAAATGGCCTGGCCGTTACTGTGCCCTTCCTAAACTTCCTGTATTGATGACTGCTTTCTTAGCGATTGATCCTTATGTCAGTTCCCTTACACTATCAATAGTAATGATGTCCAAACTCCCAAGGCCATGTGTGCAGGTGTTCTTATTTATTCTAATATTTAAAATCTCATTTAGGAGAGCTCAAGCCTATTATCTTCAAAGCTTAAGTTTCTTTCCATACCATTGTCTTCTATACTCAAAGTCATTTGTTCAGCTGAGTAGCAGAGAAAACTGTATCCAACTTGACAGATTTCAGTGTCTGTCTTTAATAAAACCATTGACATAAATATCTTTCAGCCAATTGCAAGTCAATCATTGCAGATCCAGTCAAGATGATTTTACTCACTTGACTGCATTAGTGTACCTGAACAGTTAAGAACCAGAACTCCATATACCTGTATTATAAAATATTCTGTATCTTTCTGGTGAAAACATCTTTTAACCATGAAATTATCATCAAATTCTCATTTGAAATTTTAAGCAAGTATATATTTTACATTCTTCTCAAATTCACATAAAATGAGAAATTATTTTAAAAATTGCTGGATTCTACCAAAAAATTATAGTGCCCAGAGTACTAAGGGAGCTCAGAAATTAGAGCTCAAAATATTGGAACTCTAATTTGAATTTTGAAAGTAGGTCACAGTCTACTGTTTTGATTAACTTTTCCCTCTTGGATTTTTTTATTCATACTATGCTGACAACATTCCTAAATTTTATACCATAACTCATGAAAAGGCACCTTGAATCAGTTCCATGGTCTAGCCATTTTATCGACATGATAATGAACCCAAGGAATGTTTTATGGAATACATAGTCTGTTTGCTGACGTTGTTTCCCTTAAAGGCTTATAGCACGCACATAAGCTAGTAATTAAGGTGATGCGTTTTCCTTGTGATTAGACTCCTGTATATTTATTACTCCAGAATGATTAAACAGCAACAACAAAAACAAAAAAAAAACAAAGAAAAATGTCTATTTCCTCAAACTGCACGGAATGTCTCCATTCTTTTTTAAATCTGTGATCGAGGCATGTCCCAAACCTGACTGTGAATTTGACATGTTTATTAGGGGGCCTTCTCCCCTTTCCTATGCGATTTAAAGTTTATGCCTTTGTTTTTCAGTTCAGTTTACTCACTCAAACTTGTGTGGCATGTGGCTTGGTGCCAGCTGTGACCGCAGTCTGTGACATGTTTCAGAACCATCCTCTCTTCTTTTCTCCATTGAGATCTCTTCTTATTCCCAGGGCGCAGTTGACAGTCTGAAGAAATTTACCTGATAAAAACCCTTTATCCTTTGCTTGGAGAAGTGATATTTAAACACATTAAAGAATTTTAAATAAATAAACTGAGTGGAGAGATGGATTTTGTGTACTGCTGCCTTCCTAGTACCCATAACAGCATAAACATTGTGGGTATGATAAGGAAGAGGAAATTTGGGAAAAAATTTAATTTTCTTGGCATATACATCTTTAATTCTTCAACACATCTTTTGTGCAACAGTTGAAAAAGTGATGCCCCTTTATTATCCCTGGTGTCCTGCCTTTGATATGCAATGAATGATTGCTGAACTGTGGAAAAGAACAATTAATTGCATTTCATCCATAGTACTTGGAGATTTTAAAAAATCAGAATCTAACTGTGAAGTTATTCTGAATATGTTTTGTAAAAAAGCATAATGTTTACAATGCACAGCTCTTTACAAAAATGCATTTCAATTTGGTTATTTAAAATAATTTAAATTGAAAAAATGAAAAGAGAAATTGGATTCTAGGTTTTGTTAATGTTAGTGATATTTATTATATTTTTAATCCAAATTTAGCCAGTGGAACTACTTTTTCTCAAACACATTATGTGAAAGATGAAATAAACATTTGAAATGTCTAATACTGACAATTTGTATATGAGAGGTCACACATAAAGTGTCATCTTGTACCAAAATATCATGCGGAGGTTGGAGACTAAGTCTAGATCAGTTCCAATCTGCACTGATTACAGTTGGCTTGATTACACACAGGCTATAAATAAACATTTGTAATGTCTTTATTTTTAGACAGTTTCACTCATGATGGTTGCAAGAGCACAATTTATGAACTTAGGAAGTCAGTTATTAATAGTAGGAGAAATCCAACACTAAAAAAATCATTTATCTGTAGAAAACATTTTGCTTTAACACCTATGTACAGGTTCCTGTTGTTGAGGTTCAAAGTCTAGCTTAAAAGAAAGAACATAAGATAGATAACTAAATTAATTTGTATTTGTACTATAAATCTCTTGAAATTGCTTAAGGAATGCAAAGAAAGTGCATGAATAAGGATTGTTCGTTTTAAAATAAATCTGGTGAATAATTTTAACCCTGATCATGAGAGAAGTGATGGAAAATGAATTGATAAGAGGAAAGATATTGGGGAACAATCCTCACTATGGAGAAAGAAGTAAAAAGAAACGCTGATAATACGCCAGTGTTACTCCATGCCGGTAATGCTCCAGGCGTGTCCTAGAGTAATGGATTTCAAAAGTGCTTTTATTCTCAGCCACTATTTTGCATTCAGAGTGATCTTTTCAAAAGGCAAATTTAACCTTATCACCCTCTGATACAAAATATCAGTGATTCCTCACTGTCCTCAGAAAAGAGACTGAAACCCTTCCAGGGGCCTTCAGCTTTCTATGCGACTTGCTTTCTGCTCACCTGTGGCCGCTCCACGCTGCCCTCTCGGCCTTTCTTGGTGCTCCATCTCAATCAGCCTGTTCTTTGAACAGCTCATCTCCTCTCTCTCCCCAGGACCTTTGCACATGCTGTTTGAGCTTGCAGAATGCCCCTTACCAAGTTCCCCGCTGTCCTTCCTCCCTTCTCCACTTCAACACTCCCTTCAGTTGACTGTGCATCCTTCACATCTCGGGTCAAATGTCCTACTCTGATACCTCAACACTATCGGTATCCCTTTCTAGCACCTATCTTCTTCTCAGTTCTATTTTTATACTGGCCATTTTGCAACTGGTACCTGTTCCTTCTCCCCATAGGTTTCGTTCCTTGAGAACACTGACTGTGTGTTTATATTCATCTTTCCCGCACCTTGCGGTGTGCTGACACTTTCATGATAAATGCTCCATGTGTTCTGGGTGAATGACTGAATGTCTAGAGGAACAGGTGGATTTCACTGCAGGGCCTTTTGTGCCCAGTTGCTCAGTCGTGTCTGACTCTTTGCGACCCCATGGACTGCAGCCCACCAGGCTCCTACATCCACGGGGTTCTGCAGGCAAGCATCCTGGGTGCGCTGCCGTGCCTTCCTCCAGGGGATCTTCTGGACCCGAGGGGCCAACCCACCTCTCCTGCTTCTCCTGCTCTGCAGTGCATTCTTTACCACTGAGCCATCGGAGAAGGCTCAAAGGGCCTCTTACCCCCATTGAAACGTGTAACACAGAAAAAGAGAGACAGGGAAAGATGGAGAAGGAGAAAGAGGAGGAAGAGAAGGCAGAGAAAGAAAAAGGGGCGGTTGCAAGTTCCCAGGGAAGGAAGTAATTGTAATGGGGTTGTTGTAAAGAGAAGGCGCTGTGGTCCCCTTGAGAGGGGATTCAGTGTCAAAATCAGACACCCCAGAGATGGCCATGCAATGCACGCTAAGTGGCTTCAGTCGTGTCCGACTCGTTGCGACCTCGTGGACTGTAGCCTGCCAGGCTCCTCTGTGCATGGGATTCTCCAGGCAAGAATACTGGACTGTGTCGCCATGTCCTCCTCCAGGGGATCTTTCAGACCCAGGGATTGAACCTGCATCTTTTATGTCTCCTGCATCGGCAGGCAGGTTCTTTACCACTAACGCCACCTGGGGAGCCCCAGCTATTCATTTGTCCTGACTTTATTTTGCTAAATATAGCCCAATCCTTAATAAGCATCAAATATTAACATATACATGTTTTGTCCAAAGGTTGTAGTAAATGATATATGGGTTTAAACAGAGATTTTATTCATGGAATGCTTTCTTTACATTCCTTAAAATGGCACTCATTAGTAGCTTTTTTACTGTTATTAATGGCTAGGTATTTTCACAGTACTTCATCACTGTCAAAGCTTTGCCAGCGCAGATCATCTTATTTGATTCTCACAACAATACTGAGAGGGATGTAATATAAGTAGTCCTGTCTATTCTGCTGGGTAGGAACTGAAGCTCAGAGAAAGAGACTTGCCTCATGGCACACAGATGCTGCTGCTAGATGTCAAACTCACATAATCTCATTCCAGGTACTTTTCACTATTTATTCCTTTTCCAAGAAAAAGCATTTATTTCTTTATTTATTTATGTTTGGCTGTGCTGGGTCTTGGCTGCTGCTGGGACTTCCTCTAGTTGCCAAGAGCGAGAGCGGCTCTCTAGTCGTGGCGCGTGTGCTCCTGATTGTGGAGGCTCCCCCGGTGAGGCGCTCAGCCTCTGGGGGACGTGGGCTTCAGAAGCTGCGGTTCCCGGGCTCCAGAGCAGGGCTCAACTGCTTCAGCACTGGGCTCAGCTGCTCCGCCACACCTGGGATCCTCCTGGACCAGGGTTCGAACCCGCATCTCTTGCATTGGCAAGGAGATTCTTTACCACCAAGCCACCAGGGAAACCTCACTCTTCATTCCTCCCAGCAATTTTTTTTTCATCTGAATATATCAGTAAAGCTATTGCACATCTTATCATCCAAAACAGGATAATTCTGAGTGAGAAGGGATGCTGTTTATGATTGTGCTGTGATGCCAGGCTTACACCAGACAACTTGAATGCATGGTCTTTATTATCTATTGCACTTTTACTTAAAGTAGAATTGTCAACTTGCTTGATATTTCTTATAGGACAATTACTTTACAGTATTTTAGTTAAAGTATACCAGCCTCAGTACCAGATAATCCCCAACATTTTAATAGTCAACACAATAGAAATTTATTTCTTTTTCACATAAAATACAATGTCCTAAGGAGGAGGTGGGTGAGGATGAGAGCTCTGTCCCTCTTTAATCCAAGGACCATGCTGTAGGATGTTCTTACATTTTTTGGTTAGTGGCTGCTGTAAGGAAGATGAAACTTTTCTTTCTTCTCTTCAAGGTTTGCTAGTGGATCTGATTATTGAATTGATGTAAGAGAGTAACTGGAGAAAAGAAAATTTGATTTGTATGTTCAGGAGCTTATCAGAAATACTAAACTCAAAGAAGTGGCCAAAGCAGGCAGCTTTTATAGCTTTTAGACAAAGAAACAATGAATTTGTGAAGAGTTGACAAGATAAGGTGGTTTGGCCTTGGGAGTGAATTATTTAAGAAGTGACAAAGTTTGCTTGTACAGTCTTCGGAGCCTCACAATTCCTGATTTCTGGTAATAAGAATGTCTCTCTAACTCGTGGTGCAGAGAGAGTGAGTACCTTTTCCGTGAGAGATTCATTTCTTGATTTCAGGGGCACAAACAAGGGTCAGAGTGTCCTTCTTGCATTGGCTGTCTCTCAAGTAAACTCCAATTCAAAATAATAAGTAATATAATAATAAATATGCCAAAGTGGGATATTTTGGCATCTCCTGAAGCCCATCACTACCATGGATCCAGAAAAATGTCAAACCAGTGTAAAAGAGGCCGCTGCCCTGGCAGTTCTGCATTTCAGTCCTCTAAATAGTGCTCATCTAACTGCTCATATTTCATTGTCCACACCTTGACGCTAGTGGCTTCCCAGGTGGTGCTGGTAGTGAAGAACCTGCCCACCCAGGCAGGAGACATAAGAGATATAGGTTCGATCCCTGGGTCAGGAAGATCCCCTGAACGAGGGCATGGCAACCCACTCCAGCCCTCTTGCCTGGAGAGCCCCACGGACAAGGAGCCTGGTGGGCTACAGTCCATAGCATCTCAAAGAGTTGGACACGACTGGAACAACTTAGCACGCACATGGGGCTGCCACTCCCACCAACAGCCAGTAAGCCTTTAGCGGGCAGATACTGCCTTGCCACGTCGGGTAAAGTAACTTGAAGAAGTCATTCATTCAGGATCCGTTTCCTAATCTGTAAAGTGGAAATAACAGTGTTCAGTTCGGTGTGTAATATAGAACTCATATTTGTGAAGGGCTTAGAACCTTACTTCCATATGGTACAAACCTTGTGATAAAAATTTGTACACAGTGATTTCAGCTTCTGAAGTCATTCTAGTGCTGTGAAAAGTCCTCTGTGTTCTGGTTCTGTTGAGTTGTGTTTTTTTTTTTTTTGGCTGCATCAATCTGGGCAGATCTTGAATAGATGGTATAGACAGTCCATAAGAGTAGAGTCAGTAAATTGCTGAGAATAAG